TCCTATGTCTCTCTTATTAAATTTTTTAAAAGATAAAAAAGAAAAAAGAGTTTTGACAATTATTTTAAATATATATCCCACCGGATGCTCTAGAAAGAATAAACTGGAGAAGGGCAACCATCATTGACTTTACCTTTCACTGTGCCAGTAGGCCAGACAATACAAAACAGCCCTTGTGGCGTGTTTCTAGGGAACCAGTTTCCAAGAAAGAGTATTTTAAAAAATCAAAGCAACAGCCTAAACATTGTATAAAATAGCACATGGGGTCAGCATAAAGGGTCTGTGTGATAACCTTTTTTCTTTGTTTATTAAAAAAAAAAAAAATGGAGCCTCCTACACTGTACAGAAAAAGTCATGGAGGAAAGCCAGATGCAGAGCCAGCTTAAGGCTCCAGAATGACGAGATTCCAAACGGTCAAAGGTTTAGAGCAGAAGGACAGCCCTGGAGCGCCCAGCAAGTTCAGACAGCCCCACGCCCTCCGAAAGCTGTGTGCAGCTGTAGGGTGTGGGGGAAGAGTGCTGGCGCAGGGCTAGGAAGCTGGTCAGAGCCAAGAGCCTTGAGAATCAGGAAGGCTGGGTTGGCACAGGAACTAGAGGACATACAGGGACAGCCTGGACCTCAAACACAAGTGAGGAGTGTGGGACTCTCCTGGGGTATGAAGACACCTACATCTTCAGGAACAGGCCCTACAGTCCCCTGTGCACGTCCACATCTGAAGGACCCTTGTCTCTGATCATGCCAAAGACTGGTTTTTCCACTTGTGGCCCAGCCACTTCCTTGGAGCTCTGGGAAGTACAGCCACGGTCACTGCCTGTCTTATTCTGACAAGGTACCTTCCACATTAACTAAGACAACATTAACTTACACAGCCCACTTTACCACACTGCCACAAGCAAGTACACGTGAGTGGGAGAGAAACAACACACAGGCATGCGTCCTGTCAGGCAAACTCAGTTTTAAAGAACACAGAATATTCCCCTTCTCAAACAGATCCACCTAAAGGTTCCTTTGAATAAGCATTTCCATGGAGCATTTGAACGAGATTGTTTATGAAGTATGTGCTGACTCATACCTTTTCAGGAACATCTACCTATTTTGACCACAGGCCTCTCAACTTCCACAGACTGTTCCTCTCTCGGGCCTGTGATGGCTTGCTCTTTCTTGGTTGCAGCCCTAGGTCTCTGACTCTTTCTTTGCCCCTTTCTCCTCCTACCTAACCACAGGCATTCACCAGGAGTGCTTTTTTGGGGACATCTTACTTCTTCATTCTTTCTCTTCAATTGAGTGACTGTCACCCGATTCCTTTAATAGTCACCTGGGTGCTGATAATAGCTGACAATCACAAGTGCTCATTATGTACCAGGCACTGTACCAATCTCTGATTTCATCCTCTCAACAGTCCTATAGAGTAGACACTGTTATTATCCCCATTTTTATACATGGGAAACTGAGGCTTTGGGGGTGGTGGTGAAGTAACTGCCTAAGGTGCCCAACTAGTAAAGGGCAGGCCCGGGATTCGAACCTGGCCAGTCCACCCGACAGACTCTGCTAGTAACTGATAACATTTCTGTAGTTCATGCAATTCTGTACACTCTCTCACCTGGACACCCTTTCCAAGGGACTGGGGCCATCTTCACCAACCCCTCAAACCCAAAGTTTTGGCCACCATCATCAGAGAATATTCACTGACATGTTTACACTGGTTGTTTTCTTTTGTTTTTTTTTTATCCTCACCCGAGGACATTTTTCCATTTTTTTGTTCAGATAGAGCGGGAGGGAGAGAGAGGAACAGAGAGAGAGAGAGAAACGTCGATGTGAAGGGACACATCGAGTGGCTGCCACCCGCACGACCAACCAGGGCCAGGGACAAACTGCAACTGAGGTACGTGCCCTTAGCGGGAACCGAACCCGGGTCTCTCTGTACCGCAGGCCGACACTCCAACCGCTGAGCCAAACCGGCCAGGGCTACACGGGTTGTTTAAAGATGTACGTACCCTGCCGCCTGGCACCCTCCCCCATATCATCCCCTCCAAGACCTCCTGGCACAGAACTGGGGCCTGAGGGCTGAGGAGTGGGGGCTTCAGGATGCTGTTGGCCTGGGTTCTCACCAGTGTTATTCCTGTGGTTGGATATTGTTAGTATCACTTCTGCCTCCTCCTCCTCCTTTTCTCTCCACAAACCAGTTCCTCCTCCTAACTTCCTTATTTCTGGGTTCCATACTTCATTCTCCAGTTCACCGTACATGAGCCCTCCTTTCCTCTTCCCCACTGCTCACCTTCAACTGACGGCCTCTTCCTGTGGCTTTGACCTCTTCTACCCGCTTCGGCTCATCCTACCTGTCTCCTCCCTTCCCCCTCCCTATGGTCTCCACCCTGAAACAGACTCCTTCTAGCCCCGGCCCAGCTTCCTTGGCCCCTGCTGGATTCTTCCTACCCTCTTCCCCTTCCTCCTCCACACTCTCGAGGCCAGGCATTCAAGGATAAAGCCTTGCTTCCTCATGAGAAATCTACCTTCTCACCTGCCAATGTTTCCTCCATTAGAGCACCTTATACAGAGAAAGTATTTCATGAATATGTATTAAATTCAGTCAGGTGATACCCACTTATGTTTCCAAAGTTTCCTACCTTATCCAATCGCTACCCTCTTGTGAAAGTTATTGCCAGCCCCTCAGTACTCTCAACAGCCTTGCCTCCCTACCCCTGGGAGTGTGAAAGCTTCACAGGCAGCCCCTCGGGTCCCCAGCAGTTTCCCTTTTGTCCCTCTCTTCCCAATCCCTGGCTGATTGTCCCATCTGCCTGACTCCTGAGCATCCAATACAAGGCACTATAGCAAGTGTTGGGGACCCAGCTGATGGCGACACCCCTCCAGGAGCTCATGGTTGGAGTTGGAGAAGAAAGATATATTCATATGAAGGTCCAATGGTGACCCACCCACCGCAGGGTAGTTGTGAGGCTTAAATCAGTAGTGTGTGTAAAGCATTTAGAACAGGCTTTCCACAGACTCTGTGCACAGTAATATGAGCTACTATTGTTTTTATTATTTGACATAAAGCATCATAGGAATTTAAAGATGGAAGATAACCTTTGCAAACTCTCTTAGGATCTCAAATATCTTCTGAAAGTATAAGCCCAAAAAGTTCTCTCCCCTAGATCATTACCTAACCTCTAAGTCCCAACCAGACATCATTTCTGTCCCCTCCCCTAACCACTTCTGCAAGTATGCATCTGAAACAGCTGGGGGGCTGCCTTACTGTGGTCTGGGAGCCCTCTGAGGACAGAAGCTGCCGCTCTTACTCCATCACATGCCTTATCAGCCTTACAGATCCAGTGCACTCTTTGTATAGCAGCCATTGTCCATCAGCTTGTGTAAGAAGTGGCACTGAGCCCTGGCCGGTTTGGCTCAGCGGTTAGAGCGTTGGCCTGCAGTCCTGAGAGACCCGGGTTCGGTTCCCGCTAAGGGCATGTACCTTGGTTGCAGTTTGTCCCCGGCCCTGGTCGGTTGTGCGGGTGGCAGCCACTCGATGTGTCCCTTTCACATCGATGTTTCTCTCTCTCTCTCTGTTCCTCTCTCTCCCTCCCACTCTACCTGAACAGAAAATGGAAAAATGTCCTCGGGTGAGGATAAAAAAAAAAAAAAAAAAGAAGTGGCACTGAAAGCCAACACAGGAACCTCTCCACAAGGCCCCCTAACTCAAATGCTAAACGAACAAATGCTAAGAAGGACCAGAATGTGTGCCAGGTGAGCAGGTGACAGAGCCTATTGAGTACACTCAAGAAAGGCTTCCTTGAAGAGGTGACATCTGGGTGAAGATCTGAAAATGGTGTCACAGGGAGCGGGAGGCAGGTTTCTGCCCTGCTTTTTCCCACAAAACCTGTCATGGGACCCAAAAGTCCTATATTCTACCTGAAAAATTCCGCCTCCTGGCAGGGCCAGCTGTGAGGTCATTCAACCTCTCTGTGAAGCTCCACAGCCCTGCACCCCACAGGTAGGCAGTGTCCCAAGAGAACCCCCAAAACCCCAGGAAAAGGGACTTCACAAAGCAGGGTATAAACTGTCCTTAAGGCCACAAAGCCAGGACTCTCCACCCAGCAGCCCACTATAGGGGCAGGGAGCTGTGAGGCTAAATGGAGAGCAAGGAGGGTCCCAAGTAAGGAGCTGGAGTCACATGGCAGCTGTAGGTCAACTTTGAGGCATACAGACTGCTCCTGCTCCTGACCTAAAAGGAATGAGGGTAGTTCTTCTAAGTGCTGGGGTCCTTAAGGGACATCTGGGGAGTGAGAAGAGTGGACAGAGGAGGGCGGGGGACAGGTAGACCTGTTGCTTCCTGCTTGGGCTGGTCCTACGGGCTTGGATGCCTCGCCAGTTCATAGGGGTCGCACACAAGACCGGCTCGCTCTGGGCTGAGGCCAAGGGCTGGGGAGTGGGCTCAGGAAACGGCTGCCTCATGGGACAAAGCTTCTGCAAGAGAACCCCTCTAGGGTCTGCAGGGAAAGTCAGCAGCTAACTCGGCTCTGACAGGCTGTACGTTTCTGCGGACTGGGAAAGGCCATCCTCGCTGGGGGTGACTGCCACTATCAGCCCGGCAAAGCTCACCCCGGGTCCCCTATCCCAAGTTCCCCAAAGTCCGCTCGCGGCGCAGCCATCTGCGATCTCCCTGACGGGTCACTCCTCCCAATGGGCCTCGGTTTCCTCATCTGTGAGATGAGGGGTGGGTGTCCCAGCTCTACGGGGCTCGGGCTACACCCGTCTGCGGGAGGACGCGTTGCTGGGGGCTTGGGCAGCAAAGGAGGGTAACGGGGACTGGACTCGGGGACTAGCGGCGGGCTGGGGACCGCGGCGCAGTAGGAACTTCAACCGGGCGTCTGCTCCGGTTCTGCCTCTGGGCAGCAGAACCGGGTCCCCACGGCCGACCGGCCCCTCGGAGTCCCCGGCGAGGAGCGGCGCCTGGCCCCGGAGCGGTGCGGGGCTGGGGCGACCGGCCGCCCGCCCGGCGGACTTACCCAGAAGTTCCCCTTGAACAGTGAGCCCGTCATGGCCGGCGCTTGGGCGGGTGCGGAGGAGAGCGGAGCGGCGATGGCGCGCGTGGGGAGGCCGGCGGTCACAGCCCGCAGTCCCGCAGCCCGGCTCAGTCTCACCGCCGGCCGGGAGGCCCGCCCCCGGGTCCTAAACCACGCCCGGTACGGCGGCCGCGCGCTCCGCCTCCCGCCACGCGGGAACCCGAAGCCCCGACCCAGACCGATTGAAAGCCCCGCGGCTTCAGGCAACGATGAGCGAGTTCTAAGTGCCCCCTCCTTGATGACTGGAAGGAACTAGTCAGTTCCTGCCCGAATTCAGCTCCGCTCCTGCCCACACGCCCTCTCCTCCCCGACCGAATTCCTCGCAAAGAAATCCAGGCGCAGCGGGGTGGAGGAGGAGCCCCCGCCTGATCAGAGGGTGCTTGCGTGGACCGAGTGTCAGCTCCGTAAAGCCTGAGGATTGACAATGCCAGCAGTTGCGTGAGCTGTAGACGTTTCAGCGAGTCAGGTTCACGACTCCAGGTGCCTCACTGCAAATGAGTCAAGCCCCTGGGGCACATTTTAGTCTAAAAGTCATGGAAAGGTCATTGAGCCCTCCCCCCCCCCCCCCCAAGCGCGCTTGAGTCTAGGTCCCTTAGTGGAGTCTTTACAAGGCGACCAGGAGCTCAGCTGCTCCTGAACCCTTTCCCATTCTCAAGAGCCAAGAACCTCTCCACCAATCCTACTCCAGCAGCAGGAGCCCAGAGCTTCCTTCTTCCTCCACTCTCGTAACACCCTCAAAAAAATATAGGCCCGGGACAAGTCGAACTCATCCCGCTTTGTAGTAGTACGGGACCCTGTGACCTGAGCCAAAAGAGAGGCTGAATGAATAGCCAGAAATCACAGCGTATTACTGGAATGGAGAGCTCGGTTAGAGCACTACCCTTCTTATCAGGGCCAGATCTACTCAAGGAGAGGATGAAGGTCAAGGGTACCAAGTCTGAGCACATAGCCCCAAGCCTGGAGAGGCAAGCGGTTGCCTCTTGAGCCGGTTCTAGGTCTAAAGAGCGATGGCTGAGATGATTTGAAGCACAGCTAAAAGGCTATATTTGGTAATGCCACCCCCAATCCCATAACCACAAGGATGGAGAGGTGGCCTCCAGCCATGAGTGACTTCAAGGGCATGCATCTGTTTATCTGGTCATTCATCTCTTTGGAAAGCAGTTAGGTTAGAAGGAACGGAAGCCTAGCAGCACCATCGGGAGGCAGCAGAGGCCTTAGGGAAGAGGGAAAGAGGTGGGCACCAGGAAGACAGGCTAAACTTGAGCAGGAGGAGTAAGAAATAGTGCAAACTGGGGAGATGAAAGAAGCTGAAGGGCTAAAGACAGGACCAAGACTTTTATTGGGCCCAGCCTGTGTGGGTCAGTAGATTGAGCGTCTTCCCATGGACTGAGAGGTCCTGGTTCATTCCAGGTCAGGGCACATGCCTGGGTTTCAGGCACGATTTCCAGTAGGGAGCATGCAGGAGGAAGCTCATAGAGGTTTCTCACGTGGATGTTTATCTCTCTCTCCCTTCCTCTCTCTAAAAAATCGATAAAAACATTTTTTCAAAGACAAAAAAAAAAGACTTATTGAAAGTTTTGAAGACTTTGGAACAACTATTTTAAATACAATTCCAATTATCTAACCCTCAATTGTGTGTGTGTGTGTGTGTGTGTGTGTGTGTGCGTGTGTGTGTCTTAGAAAGTCTTACAAGCTTTCATGGTACATTTGTGCTGGATTTTCCAGATCGAAGATTCCTAAATTTTTACACTCTTTCACCACCTGGCGGCAAGATTGCAAATTGCAGATGATTATAGAAGCTGCTGGAAAACATTAGTCATTCATTTCTCAAATGTTTATTAAGCTAATCACCTGGACAGGTATTGTGAGTGAAAAGACAAGTAAAATGTGTACTATACTCAAGGCTCTATGACAAATTTGGGACATTTTACTAACAGTTAAATAAAACTACTACAGCAATTATGAAATGAGATTTAATGGTCAATGCATTTAAGATAATCTGTAAATATTTTGACATGCTCTCTTCCAATAACATACATTTGCATGGTTAAACTCTTACTGTACATAAACTTTGGAGTCTTGGATATTGCACAACACCTCAAGAAAGATCTTTCTCATGTATTCTCATAGATTAGAAAATGATGGAGCCAGCCAGAGAATTCAATGAACTCTATTCTGATCCTCAGCAGCAATACCAATTTTTATTTCAGTTCCCGTAGTCTGACCTCTCTTTTCCAGGAAATGGATAAACCTGGCAGCAGTACTAACAAACTAGCTAAAGCCACACGAGACACCAGGACCGGGATCTGGCCAAGCAGACACTGTGGTCTGAAAACCAGAGGGCAGGACTGTGCTGTTATTAAATTTGCCAAGTCAATGTCAAACAGTGGAGAGGTTGGATTTTCTCACTAAGGTTAGAAGCTGAGTAGATTGAAGAATGGAGCAAAAGGTCAGGACAGGGCAGGAATAGAACACACAGGAAAAACATTCAGGAGGTTTCAGTGCCCAAAAATTAGCAGTGTGGTGGTTGAAGAGGTCTGCCCTAAATCAAAACAAGGATTAGAGTGGGTACCATCAAAATCTGAATTTTCCTGAGTAAAAGTGAGATAAGGGATTAAAAGGACCAACTTCTAGTCAAAGTAGTGTAAGGACGGGAAAACTTGGATTATCGACGGTCACAGAAGACAACCTACTATATATGGGGGGGGAGGGGTACTTTTTAAAATCAAGTAATAGACATTTAGAGTAAACAGCAAGCCACAGAATAAAAAAATTTTGATGCATTTGTCCTACAAAGGACTCATATCTACCAGCATAGAACTGGTAAAACAAAACAAAACAAAACAAAACAAAACCAAGACTGTTTCCAGGGCTGGAGCATCTTGCAGATCCGGGAAGCACACCTACACACACAAAATTGGGCACATCAAAGAACCACAGGAACCAACTGAAAAAGCCTGCAATGGCCAAAACTGGAGCAATATGAATAACAAAATATAATAACAAAATAATCTGATTTGAGATCCCAAATTCAAAATGTAAAGTGTTCTAAAGGATTAGTTGACTCCTCAAAAAATTCAGTCATGGCAAATAAAAAGACCAATGAAACATTCTACATTTAAAGATAATAAAATAGCTCTGGCTAGTTTGGCTCAGTGAGTAGAGAGCATCAGCATCAGCTCAAGGACCAGAGTCCTGGGTTCAATTCCAGTCAAGGGCATGTACCTGGGTTGTGGGTTCAATCCCCAGTTGGTCGGGCAGGAGGCAACCAATCGATGTGTCTCTTTCTCCCTCCCTCCCTTTCACTCTAAAAACCAATGGAAAAAATATCCTTGGGTGAGGATTAACAAAAAAATAAAAATAAATGAGTAAAATAGACAAAGTAAATGTAATACATAAACTTTGTTTGGATTCTAGTTTAAAAAAATAACTATTGCCCTGGCCAGTTTGGCTCAGCAGTTAGAGCATTGGTCTGCGGTCTGGAGAGACCTGGGTTCGGTTCCCGCTAAGGGCATGTACCTTGGTTGTAGTTTGTCCCTGACCCTGGTTGGGTAGTGTAGGTGGCAACCACTCAATGTGTCCCTTTTACATCGATGATTCTCTCTCTCCCTCCCTCCCACTCTATCTGAACAAAATATCAAAATAAATAAATAACTATTAAGAAAGATGCTTGGGGTATTTGGGCAAATTCCAATATGGACTGCATATTACTGAATCAATGTTAATTTTCTCAAACATTCACCACTCCCCAATGATAACCTATAACAGCCATTTGTCTGGCATACAGAAGGGCCATTTAGGCAGAGTATTTAGGCACGCCTGGTGAGAACAGGCTGGTGCCTGTGAGTGATTAATAAAACAACAAAAAGCATTTAAATCTCAGAATTTGTTTCTCCTGGTTCATTGATACAATAGAATGGGCTGGGCTCTGACTCAGCAAAGCTACCAGGCTAAGGGCCTTATAGGACACAGGTGTCATGATGAACAGGTTAAGTGGGGAGGAGCCATTTAATAAATGGCACTTTAAAAAAAATTGGAGATGCACATGGAAAAGGAAAAAAATAAGATTCCTGACCTCTACACAAAAATATAACTCCAGGTGGATCGTGGTCAATCGTATGTGTCAACTTGGCTAGGCTATGGTACCGTCTTTAGTCAAACACGTCTTGATATTACTGTTTTTTTATCCTCACTCGAGGACATTTTTTTCCATTTTTTGTTCAGAGAGTGGACGGGAGAGAGAGAGAGAGCGAGCGCGCGAAACATTGATGTGAAAGGGACACATCTAGTGGCTGCCACCCGCACGACCCAACCAGGGCTGGGGACAAACTGCCACCGAGGTACATGCCCTTAGCAGGAACTGAACCCAGGTCTCTCAGGACCACAGGCTGACACGCTGAGCCAAACCAGCCAGGGTTTACTGTGTATTTTTAACACATGATTAACACTTACATTGATCAGTAGACTTTGAATAAGGCTTATTACTTTGCATAATGTAGGTGGGTCTCATCCAATTGAAGGCCTATGAGAGAAACCTGAGGTCCACTGAGGAATTGTCTCGGGTTACAACTCTTCCCTGGGTCTCCAACCTACCACCAACCTGCCCATTCAAACTTGCCAACCCCCACAAACTCTATTTACATCCTTTGTTGCATTTCTCTGGAGAACTCTAATATGACATGGATCAATCTCATTGATGACAAAAGCAAACTTTAAAACTCATAGCAGAGCCCTGGCCAGTTTGGCTCAGCAGTTAGAGCATCAGCCTGCGGTCCCGAGAGACCCGGGTTCGGTTCCCGCTAAGGGCATGTACCTTGGTTGCAGTTTGTCCCCGGCCCTGGTCGGTCGTGCGGGTGGCAGCCACTCGATGTGTCCCTTTCACATCGATGTTTCTCTTTCTCTCTCTCCCTCCCACTCTACCTGAAGGGTCATTTCCTAAATACTAACCACAGAAACTGACTACCTTGTCCTGGCTGGTTTGGCTCGGCAGTTAAAGTGACCGAAGGGTCACAGG